CTGGTGGTTCAAATCCACCAGCCACTCCTTGGAAGGAAAATGGGGCAATCTACTTCCATAGTGATACTGCCTCAGAAACCCAAAGAGGGGTTGCTATGCGATGGGTCTGACTCAACAGCACATAACAACAACAAATGTTAGCAAGAACCAATGGTATTGAAGGAAGAAGTCCAAGCTACACTGAAGGAATTGCTGAGAAACAAGGTTCTAGGAATTGACAGTATACCCACTGAGATGTTTCAACAAAGGGATGAGGGCTGGAAGTGCTCACTCATTTATGCCAAGAAATCTGGAAGATAGCTACCTGGCCATCTGACTGGAAGTGATCCATATGTGTGTCCATTCCAAAGAAGGGTGATCCACAAAATCAACCAGAATTACTGGTCAGATAGAGACTGTTGAGACTATGGCCCTGGGTTATTCTTCAGGTCTAGAAATGGACTCACTTCCATGGATTGGCTCTCAGCCCAATAGTAGAAAGACTACATGCAGAACACCTACCTCAGGAAGATGCATCCCTTAGATTAATCAGCCATGAGACACCAGAAGGGTAACATTCACATAGAGGGAAAGCTGGACAGAAAGAAATGCATAGTTAAGAAGGGCACAGGAAGGAGGTAGTCACAGGGAGGGGAGGATAATCAGGGCCATGAAATTAAATGTGCATGAACTGTTAAATGTAAATCAAATTTGCTTTGTAAATTTGCACCCAAAGCAAACAAAAAAGAAAGAGAAAAAAAAAAAAAAAAAGGAAGGGTGAGCCAACAGAATGTGGAAATTATCAAACACATTATTAATACCACACACAAGTATAACTCAAAAATGGCTGCAGCTTTACACTGACAGAGAGCTGCTACAAATTCAAGCCAAATACAGAAGAGGGTACGGAACAAGGCGATATCAATTTTGAAGTCAGATGGATCTTGGCTGAAAGCAAAGAATACCAGAAAGATGTTTACCTGTGCCTTATTAACTACGTAAAGACATTTGACTGTGGATCATAACAAATCATGGATAACACTGTGAAGAATGGGAATTGCAGAACACTTAACTGTACTCATGAGGAACTTGTACATAGATCAAGTGGCAGTTGTTCAAACAGAGCAAGTGGATACTGAATGTTTTAAAACCAGGAAAAAAACAAAACAAAACAAAACTATAGACTTCAGTATGGATTACACCTCAACATAAAGAAAACAAAAATCTTTACAAGTGGACCAGTAAGGAACATCATGATAAATGGAGAAAAGAGTGAAGTTGTCAAGGATTTCATTTTACTTGGATCCACAAGCAACACCCATGGAAGCAGCAGTCAATAAATCACATGACATTGCATTAGGTAAATCTGTGGCAAAGGACCACTTAAAAGTGTTCAAGAGCAAAGATGTCACTTTGAAGACTAAGGTGCATCTGACCCAAGCCATGGTATTTTCATGCATGTGAATGCTGGACAATGAATAAGGAAGACCAAACAAGAACTGATGCATTTGAATTGTAGTATGTTGCAAAGAATACTGAAAATACCATGGACTGCCAGAAGAATGAACAGATTTTTCCTTAAAGAAGTATAGCTGGAAGGTTCCTGGAAAGCAAGAATGGCCAGACTTCATCTCGTGTACTTGGATCATGTTGCCAGAAGTGAGCAGTCCTGGGAGAAGGATATCATGCTTGGTAAAGTAGAGGGTCAGTAGAGAAGGGTAAGATGCTCAATGAGACAGACTGACATAGTGGCTGTGACAATGGGCTCAAGCATAGCAAGGATTAGGAGGATGGTGCAGGATTGTGCAGTGTTTTCATTCTGCTGCCCACAGGGTCACTGTGGGTCAGAGCGATGGCACCTAACAGAAACAACAACCACAACCTGTTGCTGCCAAGTTAATTCCAATTCAAGCTGACCCCATGTGTTACAGAGTAGAACTGCCCTGTAGATTTTTTGCATTTGTATTGTTTATAGAAACAGATCACCAGGCTTTTCTTTCTGGCACCACAGGGTAGGTGTTAACTGGCAATCTTCAATTTAGTAGTATAGTGCGAACCTTTAATAGGTCCCACCCAGGGACCTTTAATAGTGTCTATTAAATGAGAACTGGCCAAAAATCTACCTTTATCATCATCAGAAGTTGTAAGTTACCATATTATATAATGCATACATTCCATATGGCTTAGTTTTCATACTTCAGATAAGAATTTTGTTTTTAACTGGTTAGAACAATGTAGTGTAAAGGAAAGAGAGCAAGGATCTAACTAACAAGTAGTTTTAGTTCCAGCACTTACTTCTACCATTAATATTACTATGCTATCCTAGATAAACATGGACCCTGTGTGCATTAGTTTTCTTAACTATAAAATGAAAGTGAAATTATGTGGTGCAACTACCACATGCAGCTGTTGAAAACAGATGATCAATTGGAAAATGTACATGGTGAAGAAATATATGAATTTATCTGTATCATATACTTTGCTCTGAGTTTTAAAACTACAAACAGTTGTTATTTTGAGACATGCAGAGGGAAGGAGAGCACCAAAAGAAGTGAATCAAAATTACCTAAGAATTAATTCATTTTCCACAAAACCAATCATTCATCTCTTTTCTATTATAGGATCAAGCCTTATCATTTATAAGTATGTTTGAAGAACGTCCACTTACCTCTGTTGTTTTGCACAATTCTGGAAGATTTTAGGAGAAAGGATGTTTATTAAGAGAAAATAACATTTTCTAGCTAAGATAATCAGATATAAATGTGTACTATCTACTTAAATATGTTTTTGTCTTTTAGTGCTTTTCAGGGAGAGACTGGATTACTGAGTAAAAATGAGACGAGAGGAAGAGAAAGATGCAGAAAAACGTGATAAGGAAAAGTAGTGACACTGGCAAAAGAGTGAACAAGAAAAAAAAAAAAAGAACTAAAGAGAAAAGACAAAAGGAAAAAAAAGCAGGTCTTAATGATGAAGCAACACAAAAATATTTTTTCTTGCTGTAAGAAAAAAATAGATGTGAGTCTAAATAAAGCAGATGTGAAAGGGAAAGTAAAGAAAATGCACACAAGGCAACAAAAGAAAACAAATGAAAGGCAAGGTGACAAGATACAGAGAAGATAAGAATTAAAACCCACAGGCCAGATTTCTGAAGTAGATGCTTAAATTGTACGTCATAAAGCAAATAAAAGAAACTGCTCATGAAGAGAAGAAACCAAAAACAATATAAAAAAATCTCTTTTTGTTTACATTTTGCATAAGCAAGTGAATACTGTTAATGATTTCCATATTTCAAAAACCTGATAAATTCATTTATGGGATCTGGATATCAGAAGTAATTTTTTTAAAACTCCATCATAAAACCTGAGTTGAAAGACTAGATCATATAGTAGGAAGTGTGGCACAAATCATAGAGAAGAAGGTGACATCATGATCCTTATGCATTTGTAGAAAATGAAGGAGTTAACAGAAGTAGCACAAGCAAGCTAGCCACTGATTCCAAATTCAGTAATTGTTTTTATTCATCAAATTGCATATTAAGTAATGAGGTACTTTTGAGAAATTTAAATATAATTTGCCTAACTTTTGCTGAACTCATTACACGAAGTGCTATAGGTATTCTTGGTCAGTGTCCATTTTGGGTCTTGAGAATTTATACGCTGTTTTCACTAGTTTTATTGTCATAATTTACTGAATATCAAACCTACTGCCATCGAGTTGATTCCAACCCAAAGCAACCCTGTTGACAGGGAAGAACTGCCTACCTCGCAGGTTTCCAAGGCTGTAAATCTTTACAGAAGCAGACTGCCTCATCTCTCTTCTATGGAGCCGCTGGTTGGCACTGCTGACCTTGTGGTTAACAGCTGAGCATTCTAATCACTGTGCCACCAGGGCTCCCTTAATTATACCATGAGCTAAAAGTATAATAAAGAAAATCAATAACTTTAAAAAACAAAGTATTTCCCTTCAAAGATGGTATGAAACATTTTATTAGTGATCATTTTAAGTAAATGTAAAGATAACTAGTTGCATAATTTGAAACTTTATTACTACCCTACAGTGTAATTTGCAAGATATTAATCTATGCTTAAATGTTCTGAATTTCTCACTTGAAGAACATAGCAATTTATTGCTTTACTTACCCAGTGGCATTTTTGACATGCTTTACTACTAAATTTAACTTCTAGAGTCCATAATAAGGGCTTGGAAAATCATATGAATATATCTCTGATATATAAGGCATGGTATTTATATTAAGCAGAATGTGTCAAAGTGCAAATAAAATTGTTTGTGCCCTCTGCCCAATCAGAACTCCTTGGGCAGCATGATCCCATCACACTAGCATTACAAAGCACAAAGGTTCACTGGGTAAGAAAAGAGCAAAGGACAGAGTTCCCTCATTACACTATCCCTAAACTATTCTACCTTAAATATTTATTAAGATATTAATTACTCTATCTCCCACTCTCTGCTTTCTGGAATTAAGCTGAGACATAGCGGACAGAATGCTGCTCAGACGAAAACAATGCATTATCCAGTAAAACTATTACCACCCAAGATGAAGGCTGGTGTTTTGTACAGTGTTTTTATTAACTCAGCAGGTAATATGTCTTAAAACTATTAGGCCACATGTATGCTTTCTTATGGACAACATAAGGGCATAATACCTTACAGAAATAGTATGTTGGAAAGCTGGATTGGAAAGTTTTCTTCCTTCTGCACATATCACAATAAAATTGTTATAGAAAATTTTCCTTGAAGGAGTATATGACATACAAAAAAATAGCATTTGCATTTGAGACTTAAATAAAATATCACTCTGAAACAGGAATGATGTGTTCTATAATTCTGAATAAGTAATAGAAAATATTTCTTCCAAGAAGCAGATACCTATGGGAAATGGATGGCTAAAAATCAAAGAATTAATTATTTCTTTTAAAAAGAACACAAGCAAAGTAATTTACATGGAATAAAACCTAAATAAAGAGAAGGAAATAATGAAGAAAAGGAATGATTTCACTTACTCTGATATACAACTGAATCATTTCTTTTTCTCTTTGGGGGTTACGATACTTCTCATAGAAATCACGTCGCTTCTTTGTTTCTTTAGGGACTTTATCTTTTCTTTCTCGTTTTTCTGCTGGTTCATCTGAACTATCAGAAGATGACTGTACGTGTATCTTAGGCTTTTCTATTTCAATATAGTTTTCATTGGGATTCAATACTATTACTCCATATCCTTCCTGTTTTGAAAGGAAAAAAAGAATACACAAATGAATCTTAGAAACCATTTACAATCCATCAAAAAGTTCTCATACTAAGTGATTTACTAAGTTGAATATACATTAAAATATTCCTTTACAAAAAATTCATTATTGTTTATATTTTTCCAATAAAAAGTCATTTTAAATTGATTGGTTTTACAGTTTGTGTAAATAAGTATAGATTACCTATAGAACAAAAAGACATAATCGCAACATAAAGATTGTAAAGGCTAAATTTTTTTTAAAAAAATGTGTATCAGATCTCCTAGAGCTTCCCAAAATGACCAGAATAAATTATTAAATAACAAGCATACTTACAAACAACATTAATTTTTATAATATATACTTTAGGATAATAAATTATTTGAAATTGAAGCTTACAATTCAAATTACATTTTGTTGAATTTTCTTTACTTTACAATTACCCTTTAATGACCTTTTTTTTTTTAACCATAAGAAAGAATAAGCAATAAACAAATAAATCTGATCAAATATTCTACAGATTTACAAATCTATATTATCAGAAATATATAATATGTATTTGTACACCCTGAATTTTATTCATGTCTTCTTTCAGAAGGCCAGCAAGCCATAAAACAAAATAAATGTTGTACTAGGATGTATAGAAGAAAATCTTAATTTTTTTTTCAGTTTTCAAACTACCATAATGTTTCTTTATTAAAATCTAGTACCAAGAAACATGTTAAGCTCTAAAGTTTAAAATAAAGCTTGTGAAGTAGTAAACATTTTTTTTTTCCTTTAAGTTTGGAAAACATGTATTTTCCTGTCTGATTTAATGTAGCGAAGTAAATATTTCTATGGTTATGATTAAGGAAACATTTAGTATTTATATTATTTTATAACTGACAAAAGAAACTAATCACTAGAAAATAGAAAAGAATAAACAATAACCACTAGTAAGTATGTATCACACAAAGTTCTGAAGCTATTATATATCTTGCCTTTTCTTCCCGTCTCTGTATTGTGGTTGTCCCAGTTATGTCCTTGTAAAGTCTTGTAAGGGCATAGTTAAAAGATGTATTATATTATGATAAAATATCCATAGAGACATAAAGAACATTAAGCTTATTAAATTTCCTACTTACTAAAAATTTTATGTATTTTTCTGAAAGTCTTAAGTATAGGATTTTCTACTTGAAGTTTAAAATTTAATTCCCTTCTATCAAACCTACCGTAAGTAGATGATTTTCAAAATTAAAGCAGTAAGATTAAACCAATATTAACATGGACTAAATTATTTTATTTTGAAATATGCTATATTGGAGCACATGGCTGCTGTTTTTAACTGTTGACTTCACAAGGTGCATATAAACTTCATTCAGACTGTTTCCATTTTTCTCCCCCAATCAGATGATTGTTTTGTCTAAAACCTTGATTTGGTTTGTAGATTTTCAAGATCACAAAAGTTCTGATTTTACTGATAGGACTGTTAATTAAGATATAATCCTTTTGTATATGTGAATATTCTCTGTGTATTAACATACAGCAAACTGACTAACAAAACACCGTACATTCTTTTCATTTTAAATAAAACTTCTAGATAAATGTTTTTTTTTTCATGAAAGGTTTATTACAAACAAAACAAAACAAAATTAAAAAACCCTAATTTTAAAATTTAAACCTTCTACATGAAAGCATAATTTTTTTTTTTTTTTTAAGTCTCTTAGCTGGTAAGTCAAAGTTTTACCAACAAAAGATATTTTATTTGGTCCTGTTTCAGTCTAATCTGTATAGCTATTCAAAAGTCTTGTAATTCATTGTGATCACTGTCAGGTAGACAGATTGTCACTTGGTGATTTTCTACAGTTGGACACACTTGACTAGTTATTAAAATCACATTTGAAGGAAGTTCCTACCCCTCTTCCTTGTGCCTCTTACAACTTTTCATGCCCTTCTCACATTTCAGCTATAACTTCTCCTCCCACCAAAAGTAAGTTAAAGAACACTGTTGCACTCTACTAAACAGGATGAAATAGAGGCATTCAGTACACTGTCTCTGGTGTAAGGAACATAGTCAAAAAAGGTCACCATAGGCCAAAAAGAAAATTGCCTCCTTACTATATTCTGTACCGTGAGTAAGTGGTCTCCTGTCATGTTTCTTCCCTGCCTTCTTTGAGTGAATTGAACTTTAAACACACACACACACACACACACACACAGAGTTTCTTATATATGAGTATATGAATTATACAAATCCAAAACAGTCCTATAATTCTTAAGTAGAGATGAAAGTAGTGATGTACTATATTTTAATGATAATATGAAAGATTTCAAACTCAAGATGGGACTTCAAAAATATGAACATCATCTTTGCACAATGAATGAGTTTGAAATAAAGGTGAATTCTTTGGACAAAATTTATAGTCACCAGAATTACAGAAGTATTACCCTAATTTATAACTTAATCACTAGCAATAATATTTTAGTAGTATCAGGAATATTTGATCACAACTTTTTATCAATTTTTGGAAACCATGGACTGAAAAAAATTATTATGCCTACTTGATTGTATATGGACTCTTAAAATCTGATGTGTCCAATCTAAATAAGTATAAAAGATACACATAAATCATCAAAGTAGTCTTTGTCTAAGTTATTGATGATGTAACTGAAAATTATATGACTCATTTGTCCAATTTTATAAAGACACAACATCAATTTTTCACTGAGGCATCAACAAATGAAAAATGATTCTATTTTAAGTCACTACCATATAATCAATTAAAGAATTTTTATCACTTAGATTTCAAAAATGAATGTTTCTTATCAAACATATAAATTATTTAGAAAATATTTTACCCTCTAGATATTGCAGACTGTTGATTTAATTAATGTAATAACAATCAAGAAATACTCAGGAATATATTCTGTAGAAATGAGAGCTACTTCTAATAAATGTCTTTGTTTCAAATTCAATTATCATTCTATAAAAAACTTACTTTTTCAATTACTTTTTTCTGATAAATTAATTAATACAATTTCATAGAAACCAATCATAGCCATTTTATAACAAGTAGGAGAAAGGCGTAACAAAATAAAGTTTACTAACCCACCTACATGCTTCAACCACTGCTGGGTAGTAAAATTTCATCTTTCCCACCTTTTCTTTGTCAAATGTAATACCATAAAGAAAGTGCTTTGTATAAACTACAAAGATTTTGCTATGTCACCATTAGTATATGGAAACTAAAGAGTCAACGCCAATAGTCAAGTAGAGACAAAACACTTACATGTAACTACTTCAAAAAGAGTAATACAAATTTATATCTTTTAAGTCAGAATAAATAATATTTTAAGAATTGATTCTTTCTATTCCCAGTAACTCAATCAGTACACAACAGAAATAGGTAAAAAAGAGGTGCTAGTGTGAGCTTCATGAACTGTAGCAATAAAGTTTTGCAAAACTACACTATAAAATCAAGCATTAAGTATAATATCATCAAAGAAGTATGCATTTCCACTATAATAAGGAAGCTTCCATAACTAAAGCTTGGAATCTTAAGCATTTTATATTGAAGTATTCCTTTTATGGCATGCTTATATTTCTTATGCATGCCAAATTTCTCATAAGATAAAAAGTTAGGTCATTTCAAATCTACATGGAAACCTCTCCTATTATCTTTAATAAGATAAAATGATCAAACTGATTATCTAACATCCTACAACTAAATAAATAAAGCTTCTGGCATTTTTAATAATGATTTACTCAAATCAATTCCAATATCCAACATTTCAAGAGACAAAGAATACACAAAGATGTTAATTAACTCTTATGTTTGATCGCACAGTCTAGTAGAAGATCAGGGAGGTGATCAAGAGAACAGATATTGGTAAAAGTAAACTCTATCTCTTTAATTCATCCCATTTCATTTTATTATACTTTTGTAGCTATAACTATAGCTTCATTGTCAGACCTGTGTTTATAAACTATGGAATCTTAGGATCCTTCAAATTTTATTGCTAGACACAGCATTTTATTCAGCACAAGTACTTGCTGTGATTTAAATAAAAACACAGGCCTCCAGGCCCCTTTAACTTTGAAGTCTATAGATGCACTTACTAACAAATAATATTTCATTCATCATTCAATCAGGAGATGATGGCTTAGGTCAGAGCGGTCTAAAACAGACAGGTGATGCTGAACACAAAGAATCAAAGACGAAGAAATATTGCTAAAGAAATCAGTATAGATATGTACTTAGCAAGAAGATTCTGCAAACAGACAACATTTTAAATGCTTGACCAAAACCAGAATACATTTTTGTCCCCACATAAAACTTTATTTACCCAAGTTAATTTTGTTTATCCAAGTTCATTTGCCTATTAATTATCGATTATAGGGCAAACGAAAAATTGGGGCAAATTCTACATCTTTTCAAATCTCTTGTGGTTGGCTAAATAAAAAATGAGTTAAAAGTACTCAGCTTGCATATTAACCTGTCAGTTCTGCAAGCCACATGTGACCAGAGAGGTCAGGGGCCAGAGTAGAATCCTTTGACCTATGGAACCATCCGTTTTGGCCTTCAAGAAAGGCTCTGTAAGACATCATTTTATACAGATTTATCAATCATATTTTCCAAGGTCAGCATTCTATCTGCCTGATTTGAAAGAAGATAGGTGCGCATCCTCAAGGGAAATGAAACCCAAAGTGTTTTGATCTGTAAACTACATCTGCCCATGGTTAAAATGGACAAACCCCTGTCCATTCATCTTTTCTGAAAGATGTATATATGTTCTGTTTATTTCCCACCTTTTTTTCACAAGAAGGGTATGTATATGTCACTGTTGCAACATCCTCAATGCAACAGTGAGATGAGGTCATGACAACCAATCAGAAGTCACTAGTGAAGCGTTAAAGTAAACATAGCTGTTGGAGCTGCAGCTCTGCTTGAAAAATGCCCCCTCCATTATTTCAGCAATTTTCTCAAGACGTGACCTGGGACTGAAATGCCTGAAAT